ATTTGTTCCACAGTCTGCCCCTGGCCTTGTTTTGACTGATGATATGGAGCTTTTCCATTGTGTCTTTCCGCAGATGTAGTCAGTTTGATTTCTATGTATTCCATCTGGTGAGGTCCATGTGTATAGTCATCTCTTACGCTGTCTAAAGAAGGTATTTGACATGAACAAATCATTGAATTTGCAGAATTCTATCATGCATTCTCCAGCATCATTTCTATCACCAAGGCCATATTTTCCAACTACTGATCCTTCCTCTGTGTTCCCAACCTTTGCATTCCAAACACCAGTAATGATCAATACATTTTGATTGCATGTTTGATCAATTTCAGATTGAAGAAGTTGGTAGAATTCTTCTATTTCATCCTCACTGGCTTTAGTGGTTGGTGTGTAAATTTGAATAATAGTGGTATTAACTTGTCTTTCCTGTAGGCGCATGGATATTATCCTATCACTTGCAGCATTGTACCTCATGACTGATCTGGATATATTCTTTTTGATAATGAATGCAACACCATTCCTCTTAAATTTGTCTTTTCTGGCATAGTAAACCATGTGGTCATCAGATTCAAAATGGCCAGTACCAGCCCATTTCAGCTCACTAATGCTGAAGATATCAATGTTTATGCGTTCCATTTAATTTTTGACAACTTCCAATTTTCCCAGATTCATGCTTTGTACATTCCATGTTCCTATTTTCAGTGGATGTTTACAACTGTTTCTCTTCATTTTGAGTTGTGCCCCATCAGCAAATGAAGGTCCCATGGGCTTTTCTACCACGGGCTTTACTCCATTCGCGTCATCATGGTCAACTCTACTCTGAGGAGGCATCTCTTCCCCAGTCGCATTCTGAGTGCCTTCCAACCTTTGGGGCTCATTTCCCAGCACTATATCTGACAGTGTTTCTCTGCTATTCATAAGGTTTTCAGTGACTAAAGGTTTGGAAGTAGTTCTTCACTCCTTTTACCTAGTCTGTCTTTGTCTGGAAGCTCATCTGAAACCTGTCCACTGTGGGTGACCATGATGGTATTTTAAAATACCTGTGGCATAGCTTTCAGAATCACAGCAACTCACAAGCCACCATAGTACGAGACACTGACAGATGAGTGGTGGAAATATGGTGACTAGTCTAGTTTAACTTTTAGTGCTGAAATTTTCTGGACTCACGGAGGAAGACTAAAAATAAAGACTAGTTGGGACCAGATGGTGGTTCTGAATGCAGAAAAAGCCTTCTGGACAGGATTTTCTTGTTGACTGATGAACCGTTGCGTATTTGAGTTCAGGGTGGGTTGACAAGTTCAGCACGGTGCTTTGGAAGATTGACTTAGCAGTAGTGTGTAGGATGATGTGGGGGTGGGGGCGGATTGAAAGTAGCATTGCCGTATTTCTCTCTTGGAGTTTGATACTATGCCTTGGAAGACAAAAAGTTCCGTAGTTAAGAAAATATTGTGAAAGTTGTTTAATACGATGGTTTCCAAACTTATTTGATATTGGGCTCACTTGTTTTTCTTCTTCCTTGTCCCTAATATAACATGGGAGTGAGGGTTTCCTATCATAAGTCATAATTTCTAAGTAAATGCTGGTTGGTTGCTTCATTGATAGATGATAGATGATCTATGTATGGTCTAAATGATCACAGAACCAGATTGCTTCTTCTAAGGGCAGGAAGGAACTTTCAGTATTAGCTAGTTCCCCCTCTCACTGCACCCCCTCTGCGTGGTGCTCCAGGAGAGGAGTATTTCCATAGCCCAAACCAAAACCAAACTTGTTGCTGCTGAGTTGACCTTTTGTGTTGCTTAGAGCAGCATTTGTTATTTTTCTATGTCTGTGGTCTTTGAGAAGAAGCTCACCCAGTCCTAAATAAGGAGTTAACACTGGAAGACCCGTGCCCTGACACCCAGAGAAGGTGGTCTCTATTTTACTAAAACAGCTTTAGCTTTTTTCGCCACATATTCAACAATAATGGTAAACCTGTTTCTGAAAATGCAAGGTATTAGGGTAGGGTCCTCAAAGATGGAGGTCTCAAAGTGAATGGAGGCACAGACCAGACCAGAGCTGTTGCTGCCCTTCTGGGTCCTTTTTCTCTCACTCCTGGTTCCTTTGGTCTCGGCCAGGTGGGGCTAGTTCAGTGCTTTGCAGGAGGCCATGACCAGGCAGACAGTCTGTTCACTTTATGATTGGCCCTGGGCAGGACACGTCATCTGGGCCACTGTTCTCCCAGCTGTGAAATGAAGGCCTCTGTGTTTACCAGGCCCCTTCCAGCACTAGCATTCTGAGATGCTGCTGTGTGCTCCAACCTGCTTTGTGCCTAGTGTCTTCAGAGTGTCTTTAGAGCATCAAGTGGAGATGTTGCAGCCTTAGGGTAGGGTAACCTGGCTGAGGGATTGCCAGTGTTCCTAAGGATTCCTTCAGACTTAATTTCTTTCTATGCCAGACTTCAGGGATTCAGTCTATAAATTAAGTAGTACTTGTATATTGAAGGAACTCTGGTAGTGTAGTGATTACGAGTTGGTCTGTTAACCTCATGATCAGCAGTTCGAAAGTACCAGCCCTTTCTGTGCGAGAAAGATGAAGTTTTCTGTTCCCGTAAGGATTTACAGCTTTGGAAGCCTTGTACTACAGGGTCGCTATGAGTGAGAACCAACTCCACGGCACACCACCACCATCACCACTTGTATATCGACTCAGTGAATTTAGAATGCAAACAAGCACAAAAGATTATACTAGATTGAAATTGGGCAGCAGAGTAGAACATTGTTCTTAAGCCAAAAAATTTTCCTTCTCGGCTAGCCATGCCCACTTGTAGGAGGGGTGATCACATCTTGTTCTGTGGTGATTTGAATCTGTTGTGGTGGTTTCTTTCCATGGTAACTTCTGTTGCTACACATCTGGCATCCTATGAAATATGTGTTGGAGGCCAAAGCCCAGGGGTCCACACTGGCCCTGAGAACTCTTTATCCCCCTCATCGCTGCCAAGGATGTTGAGAAACACTGGGGTGGAGGGGGTATGATCGGTCTACACCGTTTTGATCAAGTTCAATTTGTAATTGCAGAGTTACCAGGATTATCACCAGGGCTCCTTGGAAAGCATTCTGGGCCTAGGCCGCTAAATCGTTATGTGGGTAATAGCCTGTCCCCTCTCTGTGGAGAAGGATAGTTCTGGAAAGGGGAGGAATACTTGGAAATTTGTCAAAGTATAAGTATCAGCACTACTTCTTATTTGTTGTTTAAACCAGAATACTAAATAGGAAGTGTTAAGTCAGCTGAGATCATCCTGAATTTCTAAGTGTAACAGGCCGGCTTGGGGACTTGGTTTTTGGACATTACATTTAAGATGGAAAGTTCCACTTTGCTTTGGTTCCAGAACCCTCAAAAGAAGCCCCAAGTTGAGGTGTATTATGGGTCACCGTATATTTGCTCTTTTACATCTTGCTGACTAAATTGGCAAACTTCTTATTTTTCCTGGTAAACATTCAGCAGACTATTTCCTTCTTTTCCTAACAAAATCATACTTGTCATGTGTGTATGAAGCAAAGGACTGTTAAAACTGTCCACACATCTGTGATGATGTGAAAATAGTGGAGGCAGACAAAGGTTTTCTTTCTGAGGAACCACAAGGCCTCGATGAAGTTGACTTTCACCTACTATGCCTCTAAGGAGCTCTGGTAGAGTTGTTGTTGTTAAGTGCCGTCTGTTCCGACCCATAGCGACCCTGAACAGGGTTTCTGAGGCTGTAAATCTTTATTGGAGCAGAAAGCCTCATCTTTATCCTGCGGAACAGTTGGTAGTTTCGAACTGCTGGTACTTTGGATTCGTAACCACTACGCTACGGGCCGCTAACCTCAGGGTCAGAAGTTTGAAACTACCAGCTGTTCCGCAGGAGAAAGATGAGGCTTTCTGCTCCCATAAAGATTTACAGCCTCAGAAACCCTGTAAAGGGTACCCTTGCTATGAGTCAGAACCGACTCCACAGCGTATAACAACAACAACTATGCCTCTGAAATTGTGACCCAGGGGAGACAAAATTGGTACAGGTCTTGAGACCAACATGGTAAAATAAAGCACAACAAAAAAGGCCATTGTTTGTGTGAAAGGTAGGGGCCCCTCCTGATTTGACTTAGAGATTTGGAAGTTTTCTCAAAGTATTTAATGATTACTCTTGTTTAAGTTTTAAAAGGCATGTAGCCTTTAGGGTTTATAAAGTTCCCTTTATTTTAATTATTTGTAAGGACAAAGTTATCACTTAGCTCAAAGCCTTTTAACACAAGAATGAAAAACACCAACAGTGTTTAGTTTATCAAATTGTGAACACCAGTTTTGAGTGTCTAACTCTGAAAAATGTTCCCTGAACTGCGCCTCTGTATTATGCCTGTGACCAATTATATGCAGGAACTCTGTACCAATGATAATTATATGTTTTTGATGTGCCATTTTTAGTGTACTGTAAAAAAGAAAATATTTTATTTCTCATTGAACAAGGGACTTGTATTTCCTTTGAGGTGTTTTTTTGTTTGTTTGTTTGCAAATATGTTGGCTGTTAACCCATACATTTTCCTCATTCTTTTAAAGAAAATTATATATCAAAAACCTAATAAGAGTGTAACAAGCAAGAAAAGTAGGTTTGGAGTAATAGTCGAATGATCTTGTTGTTGGTTTATCTTCTTATAGGTATAGAGTTGAATGCTCACAAGCCAAAAGACCTTTAATGTTTTAAATTTCCTTATGAGGTTGTTTATGGCAAATATCACCTGCCCCTCCTATCTTTATTGCAACTTTTATTTTTAAACTCTACCCTAAAGAGCTATTGTGCTAAAAACCACGTTTATGTAAAATGTCTCATGCTTGGCAGCTGACTGTGTACGCAGAGAATGGCAGGAGGCCTGTCCCTTTGCCAAAAAGTTTCCGCTGGGAGCAGTTTTGCAAGGGGGTTGGGGGTGGGGCTGGGGAAATGCGAAGGGGGATCCCTCCTGCTTGACCACTCTGCCGTCTGTCTCTCCTTGCAGGTGAAGCTGCTCTCAGGGGAGAGCCCAGAATGCAGACCCTCCCCGTGGCCTCTGCCCTCAACAGCCACCGCACAGGCCCCCCGCCCATCAGTCCCAGCAAGAGGAAGTTCAGCGTGGAGCAAGCAGAGGACGACCTAGACTGTGAAAATGACCATGTTTCCAAGATGAGTCGCATCTTCAGTCCCCATCTGTGAGTGTCTTTTTGTGCAGTGTGGGCTTTGTTACTTTGTTGCAGCTCCTCCCTTCCGTGGATTGGCAGTGCTGGTTATGCTGCGGTGATACATGGTAACGAGCATACAGATGGACTCTTTCTTCTTTCCAGTAGACCTGTACAGCCCGGCCCTGAGCACTCCTGGGTGTGTTCCTTGTCTGTGTGTAGTGATTGTTAGAAGAACCCATGTCTGGTGCCAGAGAAAGAGAAGGAAGGAGCAACACCTCAGCTGACTTCTGTAAAACTTTATACCCTTGGGGTCTAGAATATTAGACACCTTAAGAAGTTTTCATTCCTATCATGTGTGTTCACGGTATAAAGTTGAGACCTTCCCAGAGAGTTAGAGATGTTTTTGTGTTTGTGATGTGTGAGTCCGGAGGCATCGGGAGATCTGAGCGCTGGTCCACACAGTGCCACCAGCAGATGCTACACCGTGACATGGGGTGCTGCAACTCTCTGGGCCTCAGTTTCCTTATTTATGGTTAGTTATCTGAGGTTGTTACACCCTGTATTGTGGTTTCACCTGTGTATTTCTGCCTTTGCACACACACCTCATGTAGCGGGTGTGAGATGCCTTGTGGCATGCTTTCAGTGTACTTACAGATACCAGGCCAGCTGCCCAGCAATGTCTGCTCTGGCACTGGAATGGCTACTTGCTGTGATAGATACTGGTGTCTCCCATCCGAGCACTAACCAGGCTCAGCCCTGTGTAGCTCCCGAGGTCAGAGAGACCGGGCACCTTCAGGGTGGTGTGGCTGTAGACCCGATTCTGGTCTTGTCTGCTGTAGTGATGAGTTTCTGAGTATTGGGAGGAGTATCCTGTAGGTCCTGCTGTTTGTCACCCTCCCCAAGCCCTTTTCCCAAGGTTGGATGAAGATCCAGAGAATTCATGTTTTGTAATTGTTGACGATGCTTGTCTTTTCCTGTCTTGTTTCTGAGGATGCAGGATTGTAAAATTTGGAGAGTCCCGGCTGGCTTCCTCCTTGGAGCAAGGGCCTTCCACAGCTGGAGGTGGCCTGACCACTGGCCCGCCCTCCCAGTGCTGCCTCAGCCCAGGCAGGCCTCGGCGTACCACACATTCCAATCTGCTGGGCCTGTTGTGTTCAGTTCTAAGACACTGACAGAGGTATTTACCCTCAAATAAATCACTGCAGTGTTAGTCACAGGCTGAGCCTGCAGTCTGGGCCCTGGAATTTGCTATGATCAGGAATCTAGCACCAAGGCAGCACAAACAATGAACTCTTGGAGGAGGGGAAAGACTCTCATTGCTTCAGTCCTGCCACTTTAACTCTTTGAAGCTCATGCTTTTGTTAGTAGGCATTTTCTTCTGCTGCTCTCACCACCCCCCACCCCAGTCCCCAGGTTTTCTCCTGAAGCGAGAAATTTTGACCTTGGGTGGTTTTGTTGTTCTTTTTAAAGAAAAGAAAGGGAGGCTGCAGGTAGTCATGGAATGTGCGTTGTTTTCCAGTTGTGTGGCCTTGAATAAGTCACTAACTGACCTGGACACCCGTTCTTTATTGGTAACTAGCAAGGGTGGTAGTTTATGTGTGAATCTGTTGGAAGCATTAGTTTTAAAATATGCACAAAGCTTGGCACAGTACAACTAATATTGGAGTCCCCAAGTGCTATGAAAGGTTGATGTGCTTAGCTGTTAGCTGAAAAAAGGTTTGGGTCCACTTAGAGATACCTCAAAAAGAAAGGTCTGATGATAATACTTCCCAAAAACCTGTCACTGGAAACCGTATGGCGCACAGGTCTACTCTGGCTCATATGGAATTGTCTTGGGTTAGAATCCACACAGTGAAAACATTTGTTATCAATAATTACATTGCACAGAGCTTGGCAGTGGCAACAGCAGAAAGTAACAAAACCATTGCTGTTGTTGTTAAGTGCCATCCAGTCCATTCTAACCCATAGTGACCCTGTGTAGGGTTTTTGAGGGTTTGAACCGCCAAATTTGTGGTTCAAACTGACCTTGTAGTCCACTGCAGTATCCTGCAGTGCCGTAGTACATTTCATATCTGAGAGTATGTGCTGTTGTTAGAATATGCCAGACTTCTAGTCCCTGCTAAGAGTACCTACCTTATAGGGTTACAAGTTCAATGACTGGTGGTTATCATAGTCATTAATGTTACGCATGGGTTGTTGTTGTTAAGTGCTGTTGAGTTGTTTCCAACTCTTAGTGATTCTGTACAGGGGTTCCGGGGAGTGGCTAGTGGGTTTGAACTGCCCTTGTGTTTTGCAGCCCAGCACTGATCTGCAAGGCTACAGCAGGATTGTTTGTAGCATTTATGAAAATGATTTTGCAAACTCCCAAGTAGCTAGCTCCTTGGGGGAATTTCTGGACGATGATGGCATTGTAACCATCTCTAGGGTTAAATAATATAAATAGGATTGCTAAATATCATGTGCAACCCCCAACTGACATCATTAGTGAAAGCGTCAGGAAAACAGGAGCGTGAGTAACCCCGTGTTCCAGAGTCGGGGATGGGCAGTATGTGAAGGGAGGAGATCTGCTCAGTGTTTGCCAGTTCATTCTGTGTGCCCTCACTTGTTTTCCGTCCGACGGGGATTTCAGTGAACGTCACACAGTGTTTTTGCTTGTCTTTTCTAAGAACTTAATGACGGTCTCACAAATGGAAAAGGTCCCATTTCTTCATAATGTGGGTCCGTAGTAAATACTGATGCTCCACTTGATGGAAATGTCTTCCACCTGAGCTATATATAGCGTGTTCCCTCCTTCTTATTAGTATGTATAAAGAGCTTTCTGGAATAAATTGCAGATTGGTATCTGTTTGGAAAAGAATGGTCTGGTGTACTTGTATCTCTAAAGAGATTGCAAAATGATTTTTGGTTTTCAGCTTCTTGGAATATGTTAAGAATGTGTAATGAAAAATTTGTTTTGTTTATTCTGTCACTAAAGAAAACTTAATTTCTGTGGCCAGAGTGTTGTTGAGAACAGTTTTGGCAGCTGGCTGGAGGGTCTCGAAGGTGCACACTTTGGCTGAGTGTTGTCCCCACTGTCATGCTGAGATCCCTGCCAGTTGAGAGCTGGAGAGCTCGCGTGGCTCTGAGCCAGACTCGGAGGCTGTGGAGAAACTGATTGCATTCCCTCTGGTTTGATTTGGGGTGGGGAAGGGATGTCTTTAAAATAAGGAAAAAGACAATTCCTGGCCGCTTTCTCCAGCGTCTTGTAACTGGGTCACTTGAACGCTTTAGTAATTTTCTTGGTGACCCTTAGAAAGGCATTTTTTGTTTTCTAAGAATTCGTTAAGGACACGAATGCACAGTTGGAAATGGAGAAGTACTCTTCAGTCATTTGGATTAGGAGATGGGATGGGTAAAGTAGGATTTCTCTGGTGCAAATATCAATGAAGAATTTTATTTCTGATCCCGGTTTTCACGTGTGATCTGGTAAGGAAGAATCCCCTCCCTTCTCCACTGTTTGTCAGTGTATTTACTATTCATAAGGACTAATGGATTCTTAGAATCCTTGTGTGACGGTGTGGGTTAATGCGCTGGACTACAAAATTGGCTTGAATTGGAAGGCCGCACCAGGGCTCACCAAAAACATTACATGCGATTTCATTTAACCATCATGGTGAATGTGGAGCCTTTAAGATCCAGAAGCAGTACCTGAGGCTTTGAGAGAGGGTAAGGAGTCCACAGAGATGGAGCTGTATTAACCCTACAGCGTGACACCACAACCACTGGTCACCCCACAGTGTCATCACCTGGGATACAATTACATGTGTTAGCTCCAGGATGACACATGGCCAGTCTCGTGGCCACACGTGGAAGGTGCTCAGTATTCTTTGTGTTCAATTGAATTAAATATTCAATCATGTGAGTCAGTTAGTGTGTTGCGCTGTGGTTAAGTGATGCTGGAAGCTATACCACTGGTATCTGAAATACCAGCAGGGTCACCCACGGTGGACAGGTTTCAGTGGAGCTTCCAGACTAGGAAGAAAATCATGGCAATCCACTTCACAACTGTAGCCATTGAAGACCATGTGGACCACAGTAGAACATGGCCCAATATACTTGTGGAAGGTGAGCCACCTAGGTTAGGAGACACTCAAGAGAAGACATACTGTTGGGCCCCAACAGTGGACTGTGCATTCTGAAGGCAGAGCAGGACCGGGCAACATTTTGTGGTGCTGTGCTGGGGGCGCTGTGAGTCAGAGCCAAGCAGACAGCAGCTAGCAGCCATATCAAGAGAGTGCACTCTTCAAGCTCACGTTCCGGTGAGAAAACACCCTCGATTAGATCAGTGGTGTACATTTTAAGAGTAGTTGTCCTGGTTTCACAGGGCAAAGCCTCGAAGCTCACACTAAGATCAAAGCCGTGACCACTAGGTGCGTGTAGCCGTGTGTTCTGACCAGCTGGTTGGCCTCAGCGAGTTAGCAATCCACAATGAGTGAGGAAGGGCCGATGAAAGAACACATGCCTCTCTCTGTGTTTCATTGAAACACTGTCCTGGTGTGAAATGGGTCCATTGTTGTCTTCTCTTCTGTGGTCTTTCCTTTGAAGTTGTTCTAAAGTCTATTGCAGTCAATTTTCGTTTATCCAAGAGGGGTGAATTACACACTTTACAGGAGTCTGTTTCATTTGCCTCCTCTTCTCTCTTCTTCTTTTCTCTGTCTGTGGTCTAATTTGTTTTTTGCTTTTTTTCTTCCTGGTCCTAATCAAGTATTGTATCCTATTAGGACAGTGACTGGAAGAGGAAGGAAAGGAGACAAACTCAAAATCAATAATTCTGTTTAACAAGATTGGAGGAAGCCTTTGAAATCACGTGCTGGGCCTGTTTAAAAAAAAAAATAGAAAACTCAGTAAACCTTTTAAAAATTTTTATTACTGACTAAAATGGAATTTATAGTTTTCTTCTTCTTTTATACAATGAAGTGGATTGTATAAATGATACCATAAAAATTTCATGGTATCCATACATAAAATCCTTGACAAAATGATTCTATTCC